CCCTGAGGCTCTTTGTCCAACTGCACCACTCCCTACTAGGTTTTTCTAAATGCAAAATAAACTACTTTGAGGAGAGTTAATATAAATGATGAGTTTCTTTCTCTCTCAGGTGAACTAATTTACCTAGATGAAAAATTCTGAGAATATTTCTAATAGTGTAGTACAATATTTAGCTTCATGTAGAAACAAATGTTGACAACTATAAAACTTTATGACTCAATAGTGAGTACAGTACTATTCCATTATTCTTTAACACTCAGATCAAATCAAGACAAATTAGTTTCAGTTGTCATTCATTGCCTATTAAATAAAATATCTAAAAATATATGATTGAGCTCTGACCAGTGTGACTCAATTGGGCGTCATCCCACAAAGCTGAATGTTGCCTATTTGATCCCTGGTCAGTGCACATGCCTGGGCTGCAGTTTGGTTCCAGGTCAGGGCACTAGAGGCAGCAGATAGATGTAACTTTGGGCACATCATTCACCTCTTAAGTTCTAATTTCCCAGTATGCAATATGGGATAATTACAGCATTATCTTAGGGCTCTTTTGAAGATCAAATTAGATAATGTGTATCAAATGTGCACAGTGACTACTAACACACTTAAGTATAAAATATTAGCTGTTATTAACAAAAGTTCTAAAACTATTTAGAATAGAGAGCCTTAGATTTTCAGTTTCCTATTCCATCTCAAGGTAAAGACAAGAATTTCCCAAAACCGAATGCTCCCCCCAAAATTGGTTAAGTTCAGTAGGCATTAGGTAAACCAAAGGTTTCCACAGCTAAGCAAGTTTTGGTTGACTGAACTTTTTTTAACTGCAAAACATCTGAGTGCATTATGCTACTGTACACTATGACTCCCTAAAAGTGGTATCTAGTCTATAATATTTCCAAAGTAACTTGACCATGAAATTGACTCCTGACTTATTGAGAAGATCAGGTAATCCTAGGGCACTAACATTTTAGGAATGCTAGTAAAAACAATGCTGACTACATATAGAAAACAAATAGCACCCTTCAGAAGACGATAAATGATTTTCCTGTTTTATTTCTTTAAATGCTTTGTATCCTTCAGATCTCAGGAAAGCCTTTTTAACCCTCCAAACTTAACCAAGTCTTCCTGTCAGGTGCTCTCAGGGTTCTCTTAGACCTTTCCTGCATAGCCCTTACTGCCACTTGTGTTAACATACTCTAGAGATTACTTGATTAATGCTTGCCACCTTGCCCACCAAACCATAAGCTTCAATTAAAGTCATGTCAGTATATTATGCTCAACTCTATACCCCTAAGTAGATGCACGATGTTTGATAACAGATGTGGAACAAATATGTGATACAAGAACTTTACTGCAGCTTTATTTGTCATAGTGAAAAACTTTACTAATATTAAAGTAATTAGCCCTGGCTGGTGTGACTCAGTGGACTGAGCACCAGCCTGCAAACAAAGAGGTCGCTGGTTCGATTCCTGGTCAGGACACATGCCTGGGCTGCAGGCCAGATCCCCAGCTGGGGGTGTGCGAGAAGCAACGGATCTATGTATCTCTCATGCATTGATATTTCTCTCCCTCCATTTCCCTCTCTTTAAAAACAAACAAAAATTCTTAAAAAACAAAGTAAGGTAATTAAGTTACTCCACATGTATTATAGAATATTACACAGCCATTAAAAAGAATTAGTTTAATCTCTATGTTTTGATACATCCACTTTACTAAATGAGAAAGAAAAATGAATTTTATTACATACAGGGGTAGGCAAAGATTTACAGTTGTGAGTACATGAAACAGTTTATTCTTGTACTATTTACTATTATATTATTTTTCCATATAAACAACTGTAAACCTACTTTTGCCCACCCCTACAGATGTGTAAAAATATACACATCAAATTGTAAACAGTGACTGTACCTGAAAAGAAATATGGCTGGGAAAGGGTACTTTCACTTTTATACTTTATTCATTACTCTATTATTATTATCATTATTTTAGATTTTATTTATTTTCTTTTAGAGAGAAGGGAAAGGAAGAAGAAAGAGAGGGAAACATTAATGTGCAAGAGACACATGGATCAGTTGCTTCTCGGCACGCCCCCTACTGGGGACCCAGCCCACAACCCAGATATGTGCACTGACTAGGAATGCAATTGTTTGCAGGCCAGCGTTCAATTCACAGAATCACACCAGCCACGGCTTATTTTTCTATTATTTCAACATTCAGCAAGTATGTATTTCTTCTCTAATTTTTTTAGGCTTTGAGCCACTGCAAGTCCACATAAATTATATCATATATTTTATGTTTAGTTCATATTTGTATCACTATTTCTGAAAAATATTTTTTAATGATTCCCCATAGCAATCTTAAGAGGAAAGTAAAACAACAGATAGTACTAACCCCATATTGCAGACTGATAGCTTTAGGTAAAGTACTTACCATCACACAGCAAAATAAATGAGAGAACTGGGGTCAAAATGTGGCTCTTGTTTCTTAATCTATTGTTCTTCTCATTACACAGCACTGCCTTTACAGTAAGAATCACAAGGCTGTCTTGGTAATATCTGCATTTTAGTACCAAACGACTAGAAGAGATTTAATCCTATTTTTGACTCTCCAAGTCCCAAGAAGGCACTGCAGGCAAGCGGACATAGAGGCCTCTTTCCAAAAACCCCAGAGAAGGAAAAGTTTAAAAATCCCAGTGCAAGCTCCTCACTATTAGACAACTCCCTTATATTAAGCTAAAGTTTACCTGTTAGTTTGAAACTGGTCCAAGTTTGACCACTTGGAATGGCACAGAACAAGCTTCTCTCTTCCTCTAGAAAATATTCTAGTACATGAAGACAGCTATCACTTCTGCCCTTTTGGGAATGGGTATTTTACACATACACATTTCCCAATAAAACATCTGTCATTACCCATCTTCTAATTTCAGTGAGGTCCTAAAAAATTGCTTGGCAGAAAAGGAGAACTATCATGCAGGACTCCTACAAAATAATGAGGTACATGTAGTCAATTGTTACTACAATACTATATGGAGAGTTACAGAGAATCATTCACTTCTTATCACTCCTTCTTTGTTAAATGTCACTGAATCAAATAGCTCTCTGATATAAAGCATAGGAATGAAGTCAGAGTCAGATGCTTCTGACAAAATCTTGGCTGTAGATAGTGGCATCTAGCTGGCTCCAGAATTTGCTATAAATGCAGCCAATTATTAGTCCTCCATTAGACAGATGAACAATCAACCTAATTATCTTTCCTCAGTAAAATATTTCTTGCTGTTTTTCTCTCTACCTCCAATAACAGAGCACCTGATGTTTATACCAATGGACAAATGAGGCTTCCTCACACTTTAAAAAGAAGCAAAGGAATAAATGATAAAAGTTATGAACAAAATTAAAACTTAATGATTGAACTTGAGACTCATGAAAAGATTTAAGACCACAATAACATGGCTGTTAGATAACACCAAGAAAATGAACAGTACAAGAAGTCTATGAAGAACTGCTAGCACAAGAAGCGAGTTCAAGAAGTCTTGTACCTAAGTACAAGAAGTACAGTATGGTACACTGTAGCTAAATAGTTATTTAAAACTGCTCTTTATCATCTGATGAAAAACAATCAGATTTAAATGCTTGTGCAAAAACTTACAGTAAGAACACAGGACCAGACGGACATCTATTGGGAATAGCACAGCTTTTTATTCAGGTTCACGTATCACAGTAGGCATGAACTTGGGAATTATCTTTCCAAATATTGCTTCAGTTTTGGTTTTTTCTTCCTGAATCTGAACCTAAGATACAGAAGAGACTCCCTGAGCACTTAATTGAAAATATCCCTCTTTACTGAACTGTCTTTCCCTCATCAGAATTTATTATAACTTGTAACTATGTATCTTTGTGCTTGCTTATTGTCCAATGACTCAGGAAACTATAAACTCCTTCAAAGCAAAGTCAACTCTTTTTAACATTGTATGTACTTAAGCACAGGGCTCTGTACATGGAATGTGCTCATTAAATATTTGTAGAGTTAGTGAAGACTGAAAGAGGAAAGGAAAAGGGGTTTGCTTTCAACATTTCTCAATGTTGAGAGCTTAATCACTTGTTGGACATTATGATCTAGACCATTTATATATATCATTTAGTTTAGCTTCACAACAATCCTGCCAGGTTTCTCATTTGAAACTAAAGTACAGCTTAGAGAAATTAAATATTAAATAATTCACTTAAGCCTCATACCTAGTAAATCTGAACTACAGTTTGTGTGAATATCAGGTTTATCTGATGTGATGGTGGCCCCCAAGATACCCTTGTTTTCAATTTGTCTCCTCTCCTTATGACTATGAAGTTGGAGGGGCAGACACCTACAGCAAACTAGCTGTATACAACCCAACACCTCTGACTATGTAGAAAATTTGAATTTTCTTCCAGTTTACAGAAAACCTGCTACAGAAGTAAGTGACTTATAAAAAGCAAAACAAGCTTTTTATATTAATCACACAATTTGATCCTCAAAATAATCTTTACAAAATAGCCTACTATTATCCATTATGTTGGTGAGGGCACTAGGGCTAAGAGCGCTTAATCCTTCACATTGTTCCTACAAATTTATAGGCTTAGGGTTTTTCAAGAAATGGTTGCTGCATAAACTTCGTACATAATCTGACACTCGTGCCATAATCCTCGTTTTCCTATGGCAAGTATATGATCCAGACGGGGGCATTCAACAATTCAATTTACTTACTTACATTTTAGGTTTGATGAGGGTCCCATTCACTCTTTGTGCAATTATTTAAATGTTGACTGCCAAATGCATTTATAAGACAACACATCCAGGTCAAAGAAAGGCTGTGGGAATACCATTTTGAAAAGGGTTACACTGAAGCCAAAACTAACTCTGGGCTACGGTCCACAATCGCCCTCGCCAAGTACTTTCATTTCCTCTTTCCCCTCCCCTGAACCATTCATTGCTTCCTGGAGTCAGATTTCGTGCAACAGGCAGGTTCCTACCTTAGTCTGAACACTCTTAACAAACTTGTCATTTTTGAAGCTAAACGTATTCTGATGCCTCTGAGGCCTGGAACGGGCCACGTTCCCTTTCTGGGAGCTCATCGCCGAAATCACAACCACGCGCTCGGACAAGGACGATGCAAATAACCAGTTGCCAGAAACTGCCTCTTAGAGTAGACGCCTCCGTCACTGACCCGGAAGGAACTCATCCAGCTTTTTTTTTTCCGCCCCGCCCCCGTCATCCCACGTGACTCCTTACGGAGGTCAAAGGACACCCTCAGCCCGTCTGCAACTTCAATGCTCTTGCACGGGGCCAGGGCTCCCTCCCTCCGCTTCACCTCTCTATCAAACACCACAAATAAATACCCCTTTCTTCGAGGCGAGAATTACCCCATTGGTCCGAACTGGGCAGCTCATTAAGGCGGAGGTACAGGGAACTTGTACGCCTATTGGCCCTTCTTTTCCGCAATCCCCGCCTCCTGCCGACTCAGTTCAGCCTCTCCCGGCTCCCGACTCCGCATGGCGAGTTGTGATTGGTGGAAGTCGGGCGAAGCTAGGCTGCGTCCCTCCCCCGGCCAGCTTGCAGGCTCGAGCACGGGTCAGCTTTGGCATCTTCATCCAGTCAGTGACCAACTCCTGGCTTAGCAAGTCTTCTGCTGGTCTTCGTCGCTTCCCTTCCAGCTTTCCTCCCGCCACGAGGGCGAGCCCAGCGGCTGCCAGGCTGAAAAGCGCAAAGAAAGGGGAATTGAAGAGAAGAAAGACCTGGCTAGGTCTGGGTGGTGTCTGCAGTACCAGAAAGGGCGGTGGTGGTGGCGGTGGTGGCGGCGGCGGCGGCGGCGGCGGCGGCAGCAGCAGCAGCGGCTGCGACCACGGCCACTCGGGACTTAAGGCCCGAGAGCAGCCGGCGGCGGCGGCAGCTCCAGCGCCTTGCGCCGGGGCCGTTAGTCAGCAGAACACGAGCTCGTGTGGCGGAACAGGGCCGTTTCGAGGAGGCGGGACTCGAGAGCGCGAGTGGGCCCTCTCGGGCGCTGCCGTCTTGACTCGTCCAGTCGCCGGGGACAGCAGCCCTCGTCCCTCCTCCTCGGCCGGGCCCGTCTACAGGCTGGGAGAATCCGGCGGCGGCGGCATCGCGGATCGCGCCCTGTGGAGGACAGCGCGTCGCAGAGTTTCTCTCCCAGCCCTTTCTGCCAGACACCTTGGCTGCAGTCCCTCAGGTGCAGGTGCGTGAGGCGGGGGGAGCTGGGGCGCTGCGGCCCGGCGTGGGGAGGGGGCGCTAGGCCTGGAGCCGCAGCGCCGTAGGGACTAGAAGCCGCCGGCTGGGCGGGGGGAGGGGAGCGGGAGGCGTCTTTGTTGTTGGAGACCGGGATCCCACTCGACGCCGGACAAGGCGGGGAAGCCCCTCTGGATTGGGTCTGTGTTTTGGAGAGGCTTCTCCGGTGGTTACTTGAAAGGGAAAGGTAGAATAGGGTCCCTGTGGTAGGCGAGCCTGCGGGAATCTGGGGGCAGGGAGGAACAGGCTGACGGGCTAGGAAAAGGTCTCTTAGGTCCTCCTTGTCGAGAAGGGTCTCATATCACTTCCTTGGCTTTTCTCCTAGTAGACCGACAGGTGAGGTCAGGTTCACTGTGAGACTCGCGGCGCCCGAGAGCTTTCTCCTGAATGCCCTCGTGTGTCAGCCTCGATTTGAGATCGAATCTGCCGGGTGCTCAGTGATTTGTGTATTTCGGTCGGGCCATAGGGGTTTTTTTCCTCTAGATGGACGAACTTTAATCTTACCTATTTTCGAACTCTGGGGTAGACGCGTCAGGGGTTTTCAATCGGATAATTGGAGTTTATGTTTGGATTTTTTTTTTTTAAATTCTGAAACGAAAGTTCTGTCAAGTTAGATTGCATTATTGTGAAGGTCTTTTGTAAAAGAGAACCCCGTTTCTTGTTTAAAAAAAAAATGTTCATGGTAATCCATGGTGAAATTTCTGCCTGTGCCTGGGCATAATTTTTTTTTTTTTTTTTAACGATGCCTTGATTTAAGTCAGTGTGAGGTGGATTTGGTAAAAGAAAGGATGAATAACGGAATACAGAAAGGGTGACCTTTAAATTTTGGCTGTTTATGAAAAGGTTATTCGTATTTAATACTTTCTGTACTATATAACAGTTGATACGCAAGATGATTCATTGATTTCTTTTTTTAAGGCTTCAATTAACAAAATGAATTTGAGTAAAAAGTCATGTACATGTGGTAATAACATTCACTCGTTTACATTAACAGGGAGACTTAAAACGAACTTTTCTTCATAAACAGTTTGTCTCTTCATATTTGTATAGCATAAGCTGGGTGATATGTCTGATCTAATAACCAATGTAACAGTCATAATTGCAGTGGTCTAATTTAAGGCTGTTCAACTCTTGTTGGTAAATTTCTATTTTGCGAGTGAGGGTGGTGGGTTACTTGAAACAGTGGAGATAGCTCTGTTTTCGCTAATAAAAAATGTAAAGTCCCTGCTGTCTAATAATTGCTATATTATTTAAGATGGAGGAAATCAATAGCACGCTCACCCATATTTTAACCACTCGTTTCTCCTACTCTAGTATTAATAAGGTTAATTGGCAAGGATGGGATTAAATTTTTAGCAGGCCTAGGCAGTTTTAACTTTGTCCTTTACTGTATGGTACTGTAGTAGGTAAGTGGCTTGTTTTGTTGAGTATTTTTGCCCATTTTGAAATGTGTATGAAATGACATCTAACAACTTTCAGTATCCCTGTGACAAAATTACTGTAAAGCATCATGACAAAATAATGTTTTGGTAGCTTAATGGACACAGAATGGGTCTGCAATTCCAGGCCAGGTATCCCACATCTGAGTCAGTTTCTCCATCTGTGATCTAGAGTTAATAAAATATGCCAGCTGCTCACTTCATACAAATGTCAGTGAGAATCAACACTCTAGTTAAGTGACATTGATTGTTTTAGTTAAATAAGGGTACTTTTTAGTGCAATTCTCCTTTGTTTTGGTATTATAAATTTCAATTTCCTGGTGAAGAATTAGCATAAATGAACAGTTGTAGAGAAAGTACTTACTTATATGCCATTGAGGAATTGATAAACTGTTTCTTCCATGTTAAGATTCATGTTATATCTTTAGAATCAGAGATGCCAAGAAAAGAGAGTAACAAATTAACTTGTTTGGTTTATTTACTGGTAGATTTTATTTCTCATGTATCCACATATTTCCTCTTACTGCACAAAAATTATACCTGCCTCTTGTACCCTGTTAAAAATTTCTCACATACATTGCCCTATATGCTTCTCAAATCCAGCCTTGTGAGTTAGGGGGAAATGATGTTTTATGACTTTTTTTTTAACAGATGAAATAAAGCCCAGAGAAGTTAATTATTTGAATTGCCCAAAGCTACACAATTTGTAAGATGTAGAATTGAGACTTGAAGCTGAGCTTTCTGACATCTAGTCCTAAACCCTTTGCCTGTGGAGCAGTGTTTTCCAAACACCTGTCTAAACCCAAAAGTTTTTGCCAATTCAGGTAAAATGAGAAATAATATAGCAATATAAGCATTGGCAACATACAACATAATGAATATCCATGTACCCATTACCAATTTGAAGAAATAAAACTATGAAACAAACTGAAGTGTCTTCATGGTACTGTATATACCCCTCTTAAATCCTACTACCGCCTTTCCCCCATTCCTCACCACTAACCCCAGCTTAATACATCGTTCCTGTGGCTTTCTTCGCTCAGTTTGCCAAGATTTACCTGTGTTTATTCAAGTAGTTCTAGTTTCTTTATTTTTACTGCACTATGGTATGTGTTCCACATTATGTGACTATACCAAGTTCCTGTTGGTCATTTTAGTTGTTTCCAATTGTTTGCCTATTAAACAATGCTGTAGGGAATATTCTTGTATACGTTTACTTAGGTGCATGTTTCTGTAGGTCAGTGGTCCTTGACCCTGTATCTCATTTTTATAGAAATATTTTGCAACTTTCCCAATACTGTCCTAAAATAAAATTCATAATAATAAACTAACATTCATATTTTAAAGAAAGTAATGTACTTAATAAAATATAAGATGTAATTTACAGCAAAGTAATATCATGCTGTGGCTTAACCGCACTCTAAATCTCGCTACCAAGTCTGATAGACCAGTAGCATCAGATTTCTTAGAGGTTGTTAAATCAGAAGCTCAGGCCCTACCCTACTAACTCAGATGCTGAATTTTAACAAGATTCCCAGGTGATTTGTTTGCACATTTAAGTCTAAGAAGCACTGCCAGAAATAGTAGTAGTCAGCTACTTTGCACCAATGGGTAGTATCACCATGAACAGGACAACTACAAATGCAGATTAAAACAGGTGTGTTGAATTGGGTATTCACTGTTATTGATGATAAGTTCCTGAAACTATTTTCAGTGTTAAACAAAAAGTGTGGTGATTTCTTTAAACAGTGGATGCATTCTTAAAAATCATCTGTATTAAAACAACACATATACTGTGTTAAGCTCTGTTTATAAATATCTGACCTTATATTTTCTCACCCTGTTCTCTTAAGTCAATATCCAGCAGAATGTTCAAAAGACATGGGACATGGGGCTGCATTATCTCTACACACCAAGAGTGCTTGGCATCCTAGGCATCTGTTCAGTTAGTGCCCCCCATTCATTGTAACAAACAAAAGACAGCAATGAGGAAGAGTGCCCTGGGATATGTCTAGTAGTAGTAGCTTTCTAGAACACAGGTAGATGTTGCTTCTTCAGCTTTATTAGGTAACTACCAGTTTTCTCTCCAAACTGTCTCAGTGATAGGTAAGACAGTCTTATTTTCCCACCTTCCAAATACTTTAGACTTCTTAAGTTTTGCCATTCTAAGGAATATGAAATGGTGCCTCACTGTAGTTTTATTTGCATCTCCCCAGTTAGCACTGTAATTGAGAACACTATGATTTATTTTTAGCCATTCATATTCTTTTTCTATGAATTACTTGGGGTTTGTTTTTTTTTTAATGGGGTTGTTTATCTTACTGATTTGTAAATGCTTTTCATGTATTCTGGTAACAATACTTGGAGGGCTTTACAAATATCTTTCTAGTCTTTAGCACTCCTTTTCACTTTAAATATGGTGCCTTTTGATGACTAGATATTCTTAATTTTAATGTCAAATTTAATCTCCAGTGGT